ACATCACTAAAAAAGATGCCATATATGATCTAGTTACTTTTAGAAGCATAGGAAATGAATTTCAATCATTATGTTAAGACCAGTCTAACTGTAGACTAAATAACTCAATCGATAGTTCTTGAATTTCAACTTGCTGAAGAAAAAACACCCAGTGATTTCTGGAGCTTGCCCTCTGATAGTCTCATTTAGTAGGTCTGGGATAAAACTCAAGGATGTGAATATTCATGAGGTCTCCCACAAGCGATTTTGATGTAGATGAACCTTGGTACACTGGTAATAGACAACCAACCTATTGTGCAAAGAGTTTAGTGAAACCCCCTGTTAAAGTCCAATGGCGCAGACCAACCCAGAGAGTCTGTGGTTGTGGGAAGCTCAACTAAAAATTACAGTGGAGGTGTGATTTTGGAGAGTTGCAGTTCCAGAATACAGAATCTTAAGTGGACTATCACCATCCACTTATACTCACAAATAGGGTGAGAAATGAGGCTGATCAGACAGGAATGGTCAACTGTGATAGGAAATGCTTATCACTTGAGCATTTTTAGCTTGATTTTTGAGGCTGAACCAACATGGCTGCATTTTCCAGTCCAGTGAAAACAAAGCTTATGCAGTGAGAAGAGGTAGAGGGAGCATAGCCCACAAAACAGGGGTGATTTGAGGCCTTGCATTTTTAAAAACCTCTCCCCAATATCTAATGGAGCCCAAAGGGCAAAGGAAGAAAGAGTAGATAGGGAGAGTGAGGTAGAGGAAGAAGTGAAATCTGAACTGTAAATAAGCTCCTTATTTGGTTTTGAATCTGGAGGTTTTTGGGCTTCTTGGGGAGTTGAAATTTCTGTCATTTGCTCTAGGTCTGTGAGTTGAACTGAGGGCTAGTAGAGGTGAGGAACATTACTTAAATTGTGTGGTTCCTAGAGGTGCACATGTTCTTTTTTGAACTGAGCAAAATGGTTATGTAATTGCATACTTCTCATAATTATTGAGTAATTATATTCTTCTTATAATTACTGAGTAATCATTGTTCTATAACTAGAACTTAATGTTACAACTAATTGTATAATTACCATGTATTAATGTTGTTATCTGGGAAACTTAGAATAAAGTGGTACTTAATATATTTCCCCCATCATGCCATTTTCAAAGCTAGCAATAGTATTTGTTTTGCAGCTCAAAATTTGCTTCAAAAACAAATAAACAGACTATAAGGAAAATACCTTCACCAATATTATAATCATAGATGTTTATACTTTGATCTTGCATTTGCACCTGGCTAAAAATTGGTAAAATTATGCTCTCATGACTTAATTGTAGAATTTTTGTTGTTGTTTTGTAATTTTCAATCTTTTGTAAGATGTGCAAATTATACTACTTCAGAGTGAATGGAGCATCTGCTGGGGTCTCTGTTGGGTAAGGTGACCTTTTTGAAATTTTACAACTGAGCATGTGACAATGGCAGCAGTTGTTTCAGGCTGTAACTGAAAATGCTTCCAAGGAGTTAAGTATCCTGGGAACTTGACGTCTTCTGATGCTAATCATGTAATTGTTCTTAGACAATGATGAGGAAAGACTTGCATTTAATCTTAACCAGATTTCCCAAGTGCTGGAAGAATGTTTTATGTATTTTGGACATCTGCACCAAAGTCTTCCATGCAGTTGGAACTCGATGACCTTCAATCAAATCAAGTTGACTAGATGTAAAGAACCTATAGAAGCTAAAATGACATAATTTGGAAGTATCTTTTCAATGCATAATAAAATTATCAAATAAGTCTCTTTAGCAGGTTTTACAATTTCTTGCTAATATACATTACATTGTATGAATGTATACATATAAATATTCAGATAGATGATAGCTATCTAGCTAGACAGATAGATTGATAGATAGATAGATAGATTTAGGAGTAAATTATCTATTTCCATTTAGGTTCTTGAAGTCATTTTTAAAGCTTTGAGTATCTCTTTATCTGGCTTTACTGAAAACAAATAAAAACCATTATTCCCATGTATCCAAATGTACCATTTATTCTCCTTGGAATAAGACGCTCCTTTGAATATACCAATTTTAATCCAGAATAATAAGTTATTGTATACTGTAGGAATTTCTATTGGCCATGAAAGACACAACTATGTATCTTATAGCTAATTTTTAGCTTCTTTCTCTATCTCAAAATTTTTATAAGTATCTTTTAAAATATTTTTGCATATTTTACAGGTTTTGTCTGCCTCACCCACATTTCATGAAAATGGCTATGCTATAAGTAGTTCTCAGACCCCCTTTTGCATTATTTGAGCTCAATTAATTTCAGAATTTAAAATATAACCTGATTGGACAATGACATATGGTAGTGGATGAGATTAGTGTTGTTTGGTTAATCGCAAACAATGTAGTAATACATTATTAGATTGGGAGTGGTAGAGAATTAGTAATTGGTAATTGCTACTGAAGAAAAAAAACTATAGGGTATATACATTTTTTGGTTTGTTTTTTTGGTGGTACTGGCTTTTGAACCTAGGCCCTTGCCCTTTCTAGGCAGGCGCTCTACCACTTGAGACATGCCCCCAGCCCTTTTGGGCTTTTGGTTATTTTCAGACAAACTCTCAATTTTGTTTGCCATGGGCCAACCTTGGACCCTGATCCTCCTCGGTTGGGTCAACAGCCTGGCCCCAGGATGCATGCTTCTTAAGCACTTGCTAACTCTCACTATTTATCTGGAATGTATCAGTTGTATGAATTACAAAAACAGTAGCATCATTCCTACTTATTTTGATCACTGTAATGAATGAATTGGATGTGTTAGCTCATAATACTAGGTTCACAATGTAGTAAAATTAAAGTATGTACATTAATGGGAATATATCCAAAGCCTCTTAGGCAAGTAATGTCATGGTTCTATTTATGTAATATATTTAGGAACTCAAAGAAAATATTCAAATAATAGGTGTTTATGTGCACACATTATATGCTAGATATAATAAAGAAATGTTTCATATAACTTTCACAGTAACTGTGCTATAATAATCATTTCCAGTTCACAAATAAAGAACTGGAGATTCAGATATATTAAGTGACTTGGCAAAGAGTGCATTACTAAAAATATAAGGACATGTTCAAATACAGGACTTTCAAACAACTAAATATATGATCTTTTCCTTGAACTATACTTCACTACTAAAATGTGTTAAAACATATTTCTTGTAAACATTGCAGAATTTCTTTACTATATAAAGCAAGATCATTTGTAGTATGTGGTTATCTTTTATTTTTAATCATTTAGTCAATAAAGATTATATCAGTACCTGAAGATCTCACAAATATACTTGTTTTTTGCCTTGTAGTTCAATATCCTGTGTTTTTTACTCATTTCCTTTTACCTGCAGAATTTGTAAGAAAGATGAAATGTACATATAATTAAAAGTGTTTGGGCAAAGGAAGAAGGCCTATTTGAAGTAAATACTGTGATTTTCATGATTCTTTTTCTGTATTTTTAAAGACTAATTATAACACATTCTTAATATTTGACTAAAATGTTTTGATACCTCATGTAAACTTTTGAAAAAAGTACCTGGTGTAAACTTTACTGCAAAGTATTAATGTTGAAATTGAAATGAATGTTATGATTTTCAATTCTAATTCTTTTCTTATTTTAACACAAACATCTAACTCTTCTTAACCTTGAACATAATTCAGTGATGCTGGAGAGAAAGTGTTGTTATTAAGCACAGTGCTTTCCTACAACCTGAACAGACAGATTTAGGAATGGGTTTGGCAAGGATCTGGGTGAGGGTGGTGTGACATGGATGAGGATACATTGGAAGTGATTCATTTTGTACAGCTAGGCAGCTTCTGTGTTTTCCCATACAGCTGAAAACAGATCTTCTAACCAAGCTGAACACATTTCACCAGGATGCATGCTTCTTAAGCACTTGCTAACTCTCACTGTTTATCTGGAATGTATCAGTTGTATGGATTACAAAAACAGTAGCATCATTCCTACTTATTTTGATCATTGTAATGAATGAATCTGTTGTGTTAGCTCAAATAATACTAGGTTCACAGTGTAGTAAAATTAAAGTATGTACATTAATGACAGCATAATGACTTTTAGGATATTTTGACCAATTATGATTTAAAGAGGAATTAGGTATAAAGAAGTCAACTCAACTCTCAAGCAAAATGAGCAGAAAATTCCACAGTTGAGCATATATGAAATATCTGAGATATATCTGAGGTTACTACTTATCACCAGAACCACTATATTTGGAGGAGGGAGATGTGTTCTTTCTGTTTTCACAACAACAACAAAAAAATTCAAGGATAAAAAACTCAAAAAAATATAATTCATCAAGCAAGCAATTTATATGTAATATTTTTACTTATAGACATGATACTTGTCATATACTTTAGTACCATCTTCAAATATCAATCAAGTTATTTTGCTCACTGTGATGAATGAATTAGAAATTTTGACCCAGGTTTCATCTTGTTCATAAGGTAATAAAATAAAAACATGCAATTTTTTTTTTGGTAGTACTGGGCTTTGAACTCAGGGCCTTGCACATGCTTGACAAGCATTCTTCCACTGGAGTCATTCCTCCAACCCTTTTGGACTTTAGTTATTTTTCAGAGTCTCATGTTTTTGCCAGGGACCAGCTACATTCTGAGATATTCTTATTTATGCCTGCCATGTAGCTAGAATTGCAGATGTAACTACCATGTCTGGCTTGTTTGTTGAGAAGTGCTCTCACTAACTTTTTGCCCAACTGGCCATGATCTGTGATGCTCCCAAACTTTGTCTCCCAAACAATTGAGATTATAGGCATGAACCACCATGCTCTGTCCTCAAAGTATACATAATGGTTGGAGCACCTGCAATGCCTCTTAGAGTGTTCTGTCATACTTTTATGTAGTATAATATATTCAAGAACCCAAGAACATACTCCAATAATAGCAGGAAAATACTCTTAAATCTATGCTAATTTTAATAATTTCCTTCTTTAATCAGCAGACAATAACTACACCCTTCAGAGTGGCACAAAAGTCATGCACCTCAGTGAAGAGACAAACCTTTGGGTGCCCATCAATGAGCCGGTTCCCTTTACTGGCTATACAGTACTAGTGAACGCTTCCAATAGCCAAGGCAGCTTGACAAGCAACCACGCAACTCTTGTAATGCCTCCAGGGGGTAGGTCTGTTTAAAATGTTTGCTGTCGCACCATTGAACACCTTGTTTATTATTGGAATTAATTTTCTTTTAGAATTTAGAGGTTTGATTGTATTTCTAGCTATTTGGTTGTTTTGTTTCATTGATTCTTTGATATTCTTTTATTGTTTTCTTAAGACTGTTTTCATCTTCTACCATGTATGTATGTGTACCTATGTGCTAAACACACACATGTATCTCTGGCTTTCTGCCTGTTAAAGACTGGAAAATGGTTTTTTTTGGAGATGTCACATGGGTGACACTTGACTTAGAGTCCAAGTTCATGTATTAAATTTGAGCTTTAATTTTTTACTTCAAAGGATTCTCACTCCGGGTTTTCTGAAGAACTAATTTAGATGTATACTAAAGGCTTTCCATTTGACAAAAGAAACAGAGTATAGGTTAATAGACAGAACAGGAAAACTTTACTCTTCACACTTCCTGTACTATTGATTACACTGCAGTAGTGCTACTTTAATATGTGAAATGGAATACAGTCTGGATGTTATGATTTTAAATATTTCTATTGAAAATTAAACATTAACTTGGTTCAAAATTACCATAATTATTCTTACTGTGGTCTGTAATCACGTTCACACTTGTCCTAACTATTTCTGGGAACTCAATGCTAAGAAGAAAACTCCCTCTCAGGATGGTATGTATGGTCCTTGAGTACAAAGCTGGCCTTAGAATAATGAGAGCATGATTCACAATGGAGTGTTTAAGAATGTATAGTGTCCATGGCACAGTGGTTCAGTGCCTGACAAGAAAGCTTGTGGCCCTGAGTTCAAATCCTGGTATGACCAAAGAAAATGTATAAAAGACAAAGACTAACTATGAACACACACACACACACACACACAAATAAAAAGAATGTAGAGGGTCTGACCATATCCAAGGGGAAGGACCCCAGGTCACCCAATGTCTGTCCTATAGCCAGACTGCCAGGAATCAATGTATTCTGGAGCAAGGGAGAATGCCATGATATTGTCATCAGAGAAGCTGATAATCAATCTCTTTGTGGTCATGAGTTCAAGAGCAGCTAATGCCACATTACTGAAAAAAAAATTAGGGCAAATCTGTAATGAAACCTCTTCCCCAGGAAAAGGTTCGTTACCCGTGGTAGCATACAAACCACTCACATTTTGTACCTTATATGACAATGTGACAAAGTAAGAATTGTTGAACAGATGTTTTCTAAGACACTTGAACCTCTAAATGGCAGAAGCTACATGATTTAAGAAAAGAATACTTAATGTGTTGGAATTCATTAACATGAGTAGCATATTTCATAAGCCAAAAATTAAAAGAAGAAAGTGAATTTAGGTAAGTGCTTATGTTAAAATTGAGACCAAATCACAACACAAAACAGAACAAGGAAATTTTGAGTGAGCATATCTTCACTTTCACTCTAACCCACATGCTGGAAGTGAAATAAAATGGTGATAACTCTAAACATTAGTATGGGACATCCTTTATTCACATTTAGAAATTAAAGAGTAATCAGTGCTTTAGTGGAGACTTAAAGTTACACAGTGATATTTCTTAACATGATGCATGGAATATTTAATGAGCTATATATTAATTTATAGCATTTACATTGGTTTAGATCATTTATAATTTGTAGCAACTTAGCTTGTATTCACAAAATAGAGTACTTAATTCATTGCTAGTGTATTTAAGAATGCATGAGTTAATAATTGGGTTGATGTACAGGATGGTGATTCAGTTGCATAAAAATCGCATCCTTTGCTAACTCAATACACACATGTCTGGCAACAGACAGGTTAATATCCCACAAGCAGGAAGAAATTATGACATTGTTCTTTTGGTGCTGAAGCAGAATAGGTGTTAAGCTTATCTTCATCTCTACTTTGTGGATCCTTCTCTGTGTGATTATTATAGGGGTCTGCTGGCCCACACTGTCTGGGCTTAATCTAATCTTTCACAGTATGTATTCAGAAATGCAGAATTTGGAGAAGTCCTTTTACCAAAAGAGGAAGCAATTGTCTTTAAAGACAGACAGAGATTTGCTCAAGTTTATTACAGCCATTAGGACATACTTTCTTTCATCATTAGATTGTTGTTGATTACAATTAGGAAACTTATAGCTTTGAAATGATCTTTTTTATGACCTTGTGGCAGTTTAAAGGTGATACCTCATTGATTAAATAGGTTTTAGTTCATGCTTCCTTTTAGTTAATGATCTGAAAACATATTATCCTGATTTACACATAAAAATCATGCTGAAAAGCATGTGGCATTCACTAGAATGTGTGTGTTTAAGTAGAATTAAATTAGTACTGAGAGTTATTAAAGAAATCTTCCATGCCTTTGTCCAGTGAACTGTGTTCCATACTGAAATGAATAATAAATGAACCGATATACAGAAGTGAACCAACTTCTGGGCAGAGAAGGTTCCTTGTGCTATTTACTTTTCCATTACATTTGGGTTGTTATCATTATTGCCATTTCCTTGATTTCAGTAATAAGGTCTCTTCTATGGTGATGTTGAGTTCCCAGCATCTTTTGATGCCGAATTACATAAGATTGGTAATGAAAATATCCTTAGCCATGTTTTATTATTGGTATAGAGTAAAAGCATAACAATAGAAGACTTGGGCAAAACAAAAATGCTATTTTTTTCTTCATCAAATATGGCCTGGAAAACCTCTTTAGCCTTGGCTGAGTACACCTTATTTTCAGGTTTCAACTTAGAAATCAGTCTATCAGCCAAGTTATCTTTACCAAGCAAGGCTGAGAGAGGGCTTTTCTGTATTCCAGAGGAAAATCATATTATATTGAAATTACCTGTTTAATTTGACCATTGCAATCTCTGCTTATAAAATTGTTTCTTATTCATATAAGAAACATAATGAATAACTGAATGAATAAATCAGTCAAGAAAGCCTAATTGCCAATTCTAAATCATAAGTGTATCAGTGCTCAGTCTTGCCCAGCCTTCGTGTCTACCAGAGCAAATTTCTATTGTAGCCAACTTCAAAAAATTTGACCTTCTCTTATATACTGTAGTCCAGAGTAAAAGTGCTGAGGCCATGTAAGTATAATTACAGCCCAGACTGTCCAGAGGGCAAGTACTGGATTAAGAAATACTCTCATGTTTCATTAACTCACCATTCTTTGATTTCTCCCATATAGTGGTTACTTTTTCTCTGGTGAGCATGGGAATATTGGAATTTGTAAAGGAGAGGTAAGGGAGCAGGAGGTGAAGAATCTTACCATGCAACCTCTCTTAGTTGAATGGTTAGGGAACATCTCATTGGCTAGTAGCTATTGCTTTTTCTGATGAGATAACACTATGATTTAAAAATGTGGTAAACCCATGTTATTGGAATTAAAGAAAGGTTATGCTTCCAATAACTCAGTATGTAGATTGAGAGTGAAAATCAAAATAGCACAGACCTTATTTTTAAAGTTCGTGTTCAATATTATTTGGAGAACTGGAGTTGTATCTCTTATTTTCAGCTCGGCACATATCCTCCCCTAACTCTGGGCACTCAAGTTTTTGTATTTTGGGTGTTTGAAATAACATAATACTCTTATTCAGCTCTAAGATACTCTTAGAAATGAAGAATATATTTAATCTGAGCTCTTGAATAGCATTATGGTACAGGTTCAAGAGTTCTAGGAAAAGAATTAAAAAAAAACTGAATCCAAATGTTAATCCATAAATATGAAACTTTCTTATGGCCTTTACCCCTGGAAGGTCTGGAGTTACTAATGGGGTTAGGATTTCAACGCTTAATGGGGCTCGGTGCATTAGTGTTTTGTATGCATGGAATTCAGCATTCAGTTTAATAAGTGGTTGACATTGGTGATGTCCCTTAATTTGCTTAAATCTAATTGGCTCTTTTATCAGTCAAACCTGTATGGATTGGCAATTGATCAGAAAGGGTCAGCCATGACTCTGCATGTAGTTAAATGATGGAACCACTATTTAAAGTCACACTTGCATGGTAATAAGCAAAGGAAGTACAAATGAGCTTAGGGGAGGAAGGCAAAGAAGCTTAGAAGTTTTGCAGGATCTTCAAGTACAGAACAAAGGCATTATGGAGTATATAAATTTTAAATACACTGCATTTTGCCTCCAGACTTAAACCTTTTTTTCCAGATGAACTGAAATCTTGTCTGAAACTGTCTTTGTTACATCAAAGAACTACTCAGAAAGCGAAAAGAGACAGAAGAAGCATAAAAGGGCATAGTTTAAAATGATTAGTGACAAATTCCATACTGAAGAGCTAGAAACAGATTTTTTATGAAAGTTTTATGTTTTTCCAAAAGGAATAATTTTCTTCTGTTTATCTTTTTCTAAATTTCTTTAATACAACAGTGAGAAGAACTCAGAGCCACCTTAGTTTGTGAACTTAATACAGCTTTTCTCTGACAGTAAATAGTGTGTGATTTGTATCTTTAAATTCATGAGAATTATTACAATTTATGAACTCACAAGCATACTAGTCTTGGAGAACCTGTTTTATTTTCCAAAATGTGTTGTTAGAAAAATCAAAAACTGAGAGAAATGGAAGATTGTTGTGAGTGCTTTGTGTAGGAGGGTGTTTTTTTAAATTTTTGTTAATATCTGTCCTTTCCCTGATCCTCTTGCCACCTAAAACATTGAAAAGAGTAAAATCCACTAGGAATTAGAATTTAGCCACATTTATTTTTTATAAATAAACATAGACTTTGAAACATAGATTTCAACCCACCTTTTTCATTGTGAGCAAATCCATAAGTATAACCGAACCTTTGTTCATTTATAAAACAGGCTTGGTGGTAATTCCCACCTGATAAAATTATTTGTGGAATTCAGCAACACAATATATTTAGGGCGTTTAGCACAGTAACTATCTTGGTAAACATCTACTGAGTGCTACCTGTTTTTTCAACCTGTATTAGCCCATTTTCTGTAGCTATACCAAAACCCTCAAAACTGGGTATTTTATAAAGAAAAGATTGTTTTT